AATTTATTCTTCTGCAAGATTAATATCTCCAGCTGATGTAGGTTGTCACATTTTTGAAAAAGAAAATCTGTTAAATCATTCTTTAAAAAATTTAGGTATCTAAAGGGACTCTTAGATGAAGGACAAAGCATATGAATCATCTCAGAATCAGCTATTGTCATGTCTTCAATATTCATGTCTGCAAATATTTTGTATAGGTCATCCTGTGTGAAGTACATGTCCGTGATTATAATTTTCTTCATTGTCAGTGCTTTCATAGAAGTACCTGAATAGTCAAAGTCATAACTTTCAATGTCTGACAGTTGTGTTACATTGTTAGTATTGAAGTATTCAATGGACGAGTGCCATACAGTCTGAAAAATTTCCATAAGAGCATTCCAATCCACTGACACATTTGTCAGTGTCAGATTTTGTAACCTGGATCCTTGTGTGAAATTAGATAATAAAGCTATCAATTTTTTTACATTGTCATTTGTGATTTCTGACAATGACAGACTTTCTGTAGTATTTTGTATCACAACCCAATCAAAATCAGCTTTGGACTGATTACTGTTTGTATACAGGAGTGGCAGGCTCTTGATTTTTTGTTTAGAATCATCTTCTGGAAAATTGTTAGAAACAGATGTAAAGAGTTCATCTTCCACAGACAGGCTGATGTGGCTCCAAAAACTTAATGCAAACAGACACTTGTAAAGAAAACAGTTTCTAAAAAAGCTTGTATTCTGTGTCATACTGTTTTCTGTTTCCTTGAAGACGCTCAATACTTTTCTTAACTGTCCATCTTTGTTCTAATCCTGCAGAAAACAAAGAAACACAAGCAAAAACCAGATTGTATTAAGTAGCTGTGCAGGAACCATCAGAAAGAGAGATTCTGAGAGATTCTTTTAAGGTTCCAATTTCTCACTCTGTTTGATTCAAAAAGCAATGATTTTCTACAATCATTCAGAAGAGTCATTCATTATTAACAGATTACTGAATTTTTTATTTGGCAACTATGGTGTATTTATCAAATAATGAGTCAGTTTTTAACAAAATATGTCTGATTTCATATGTGTCTAAAATTTGCTGCTTAGTTACAGCATTACTGCTGTGATACAGTGTATTATGAAGGCTTCCTAAATTGTGTAATACACTTTGATTAGAAAGTACAATAACTGGTGTCAACACGTCATCGTCTACTCAGATTCTCCCTTAAATGATGTGAACTGGGCTCAGAGACATTATTTAAAAATGGACTTTTGACAGCAACCCTTAGACTGAAACATAGAATGAAGGTTCAAGAGACATTCCTCAAAAGTTGAATGTTTTTAGATAGCTGAGACTGGATCATCAGTGCTTCTTGTAACTGGGGAAATGGGGGTGAGGGTAGAATGATCTATATTTATGCCTTGGGGAAGTCCACAGAAGGGTTCACTTTTTGTCTGAGCTTAAGCATTTCCTGAATTTAGACTCTGAAATTGGGGTGCTCACATCTCACTTGACATGTGTACAAAGAGAACACCAGACACATGCTGGCAATATTTGCAGGCTACACAAAAATATATCAGTTGCAGAACCTCTCTACACAAAATCCAGCCCTGATTTAAGGACACTGACCTCAAACATCTCTGTTGTGTGAGAGGTTTATTCAAACAGACTTTAAAGGGGAAAATGATAACTGTGTCTTTGCTTTGGTTTTCCCTATTAGAGGTAACTTTTTCTTTCTGAATGTAGCAGTTTAGGATAGCCAGCCTCCCTTTGTTTAAGTCAGCCATTGAGAATACTGTCTTAAATCTCCTTTTAGGTATTGCATAAATCCATTAGACTTCCCATCTAAAAGAGGAACTGGCAAGAACTTGGTTTTAACACTTTTAAATGTGTAAATATTATTTAAAGTTGTTTTCCAGATTTCTAATGTCTTTTTATTTCCTCTTCTTTCTCTTTCCCTCCCATTAATTTTAAATCATATTGTTGCCCAAAATTTCCCATAGTATTTATTAATGACTGCACAGGCCTTCAACTTTCACTTGATATTGAAGAGGTTAAATTCTGAGTTTATATATTTCTAATGACTCTAGAATGAGACAGTAGCTATCACCTGACAGACTGATTTAGAACTTCAAAGACTACATTCACTGCACCATTAACCATTCCACAAGCTTTCTCAGAACTACTGGGGCAAAATACATGTTCTACTTGATCTAACAAAAAGAAAAAAAAAAAAGTACACTGAGTTCTTTTTTAAAGAATGCATGAAACTAAGCTTGGAAATCATCTAGAAAAAGCAGGGTAATATGGCAAAACTTTTCCAGCCTTTTTCCAAATTCTCATTTGGAAAAATTATATGCATCACAGCCCTCAAAATGCACTTGGGTATATTCAATCCTGTTCTTCTGATTGTTTGGGCAACTCTACTAATGTGTTTATAAATTTATGTGCTTAAAATATGTAGCTTCAAGAGAAAGCTGAAAAAAAAAATTTACCTTTAAATCATTATTCCTTCTTTGGATAAAATTTCAGCAATATCCATGGACTAGATGAAAAAAGGATAGGAGTCTTCTACATGTGTTTTATTTTCTTTCTATTTCATATATCCTAGCATTCAGTCAAATTATTTATGAGTACCTTAAAAATTTCTTTAGAATATCATAGGAAGCAACACAAGTAAAAAGCTTTTATAACATATAACCTGTGATTTGGAGACTAATACTGTAGAAATTATCCTTCACAGTCATATCACATTTAATTCAGAAGCATCCTCATGTCTTCAAACGTGATAAAAAAAGCTTAATCAAGAAAACAATCCAGGAGGGTAGGCAAGCAAAGAGCATAGTAGGAAAGTGCCCTGTTGTTTATAGAGAAAGGGGAGAGAAAAAAAATGAGGTTTTAAGAGTTTTGCCAATATGAAACTGGTATAAACTGACTAAACTTCCATATAAGAAATATACAGAATACTTTTAGCTAAGACAGTTCAGTATTAAGACATGCACTTCACAAGATACCAACATAGCAAAAACCTCTGATGTTACAAACATGCCTTCAACAAGGATGAAACACATGATCAGGTTAGACCCAGTTCCTGAACTGGAGAAAAACTACTGTCATCACTCTGCCTCACTTAATTATGGGTGTAGTGCTAATAAAAAGAGACTGCTACTTGGACAGTTTTTTGGAGAAATATTCTGAACACAAGCAACTTCACCATCATTGCTTACCCATACACTTAAAAGAACATCGTACACATGCTGTGGAATACAAGGCACATTTTAAAATAAGATACAGAAGATAAAACAATTCCAGCTAACTAGCAACAGCAAAAGTCAACAAAATTAAAACTTTCTCACCAGAAATCCCTGCTGTCCGAAAAAGCAGAAAGTGTTCTCAGGAAAACAAAAAAAAAGAAAAACTTCCTGTAACTTTATCCTATTGAGTAACAATACTTAGGAACACCCAAATTTTTACATACCGGTTTGTGCCATCTACTGACAGCTTGTGAAATGGCATTTGCTTTTCTCCAGATATATTTTTCACATACATTACTGTAATATCCCCCTATTCTATTATTATTGAACTTTGTGGCTTTATGCTTTGCAATATATTAAACAAGAGAAAAATGAATATTTTTACCAACTTTATACCTTCATTAAATTAAGATGAAAATAAGTACTTCTTTTGAATAAGAAATTCAAACACCTTCCTATCTGAATTTAATCATGATCTAAGTCTCTATGCATTATGTTAATTTTTCATCCATTTAGCTATACCAATTTAGTTGTCAGACTCTTATCAAGGCTGGTTTATAAAAGTACCATTTGTCTTAGTTTAATTTCCATTTAATGGGAATGGAATAATAATCCCTCTCCTGCTCCAGCAGTGTTGTTATTGGGTTAAACAGTGAACATGGATACATTGAGAGGGGTTTGTTTTGGTTTTTTTGTTTTGGTTTTTTTGTTTGTTTGGGTTTTTTGTTTTGGTTTTGTTTTGTTTTTTTGGTTGTTTTTTTTTTTTTTTTTTAAAACAGAGCTGTGACTTTGGTACTGAATGGCCAAACACAGGGCTACTGTCCTGGCAAAGACATAAACCAGTCTCTCTTCATTTCTTGATAATATTGGTTAGAAATTCCACCATAGCTGAGACCTAAATACAGAACTGCCACACTGTAACTTACCTTTCTGGGTTAGCATATTAATGATTTAATGATTCATATTCATGATCTAATATTTCATTATATTAATAATATACATTCATTATTTAATATTTCAATTATTCAGGCAGCAGAGGAAATAATCTAAAAAATTACTTTTTTGCTTTGAGGCTTATTCTGTATATTAAATATAATTTCTCGGCCTCAAGTGAAAAGAAGTCATCCAAAAATGAAATTGAAAGATAGGACAGGTAGTAAGTAACTGAGATACTTCAGAGATTTATGCCTGGTAAAGTCACATAGCATGATCGGTATTTGTAAAACACCCTTCTGACAGCTGTTGTGACCGCTTGGAGTAGCTCTTCTCAGTGGCTCACAGTGTGCCGGTTTGCCTTCTATGTCAAAACTTCTCTCGTTGGCAGACTAGTGATAGAAATGCTGCTATATTGTCTTTCACCATGCTTTGCCTTAAGACAGCAAAAAAGAGGAACGGGTATGAGGAACTACACGGAAACAAGAACCACGGCTACTGGGAACAGCCTGAAAGCCCTTTGCTCAACCAAGTGTTTCACCGACTGACTGGAAATGCGTGCGGGGAGCGCCGGCTCCTGCCACGGCATCTCCGGTACACACAGCGGTATCGAAAAGCTGCATCTCCGTTCAATTCCGCAACCCCACGGTCAGTAAGTGCTCACTTTGAGGAAGGATCAGACTTTCTTAAAAAAAAGAAAAAAATAATGCCAGCTCAGCAACTAGATTAATTTGGACTTTTTCTCTCATTGGATGGCTGAGCACTGAACCGGCTTCCCAGCGAAGCAGCCACAGCACTAAGCTTGTCCAAGAAACGTTTGGAGACGACGCTCTCAGGCACGTGGCGTAATTCCTGGGATGGCCTGCACAGGGCCAGGAGTTGGACCCGTTGATCCCGACAGGTCCCTTCCAGCTCAGCATATTCTATGACTCTATGAACTTGCCCCTTTCCGCCCCAGCACGGACGCAGGGGCGCCGCGGCCCTGAGGGAAGCCGGCCCGGCGCTCCCGGCGGGGTCCCCGCGCCGAGAGCCCTGAGGGGCGGGCATGGCGGCCGGGCCGGACAAGCCTGAGCCCGGCACGGCTCGGCAGCGGCGCGGCGCTGCCCCTGCAGCAGGCGGGCGCCTCACGCAGCCGGAAGGAGAGCGAGGGACAAAAGCCAGCCCTCCCTCCTCCCTGGGCCGGCCCGGGCTGCCGGGCCCGCTCTGCCTCCTCCCCCCGCTGCTGCCGACGTGGCGGGGCGGGGAAGGGAAGGAGCCGGGGCCGCGCCGGTCGGGGCACTGCTGAGCGGTAAGGAGCACGGCGATTTCTGCATTTTCTGCCGCTTTTGACATTGGCTACGCCACACAGCTCTGTCCCAGAGGGGAACTTCGAAAAGGGGAAAAAAGAAAAGGAGAAGCGGGAAGTTGCGGCCGCTGCGGGCTCGGGGGAGCGGCGCCCCGGCTGCTCGTGCCGCGCGTGGGGCAGAGGGCAGCGGGGCAGGGCGAGCTGCCGGCGCCGGGCGCCGCGGGAGCCTCGCCTGCGCCCGCCGTGCCCGCGGAGGAGAAGCGGCAGCGGGCGTCGAGCGAGAGGGGAACAAGGTGCTGTCGCCAAAAAAGTGATTCCTCCTTTCCGCGCGGGGACGGCGATTCGTGCCCGAAGGCGCCCGGCGGCAGCGGGGCTTTGCTTTCTAGGGGAGATGAAACTCCTCAGCGCGGCAGGTGCCGCCACCGCCGGGCCCCTCAGCGCGGCTGCTCCGTGCGGGCCGGGCTGGCCTTAGCATCTCCCTCACGAGCTCCCCGTAGAGTAATTCCCTTTGGGCGGAGCCGTCCGAGTTGATTTGGATCAGGACAGTCTCAGGGATGAAAGGTTGAATGGCGCTGACCCCGGGTGCAGCTCGTGTGGTCTGACAGAGGCGGTGATTTGCTGTTACCTGCCGTGCTCTGGAAGGAAGGTTCAGCAGGCAGCTGCAGGGAGCGTGGCCTGAGTGGTACCCAAAGATGACCGCAAAAACTTTTTTGCAGTACTTCAAAAATCCATGTGCACATTTGTGTGATCCTTTAAAAAGTGCTGGGCTTACTCAGAGCTAATGCCCATTCAAAAATTATGAAGTATGTGTCTAAAGGTTTTACAGGTTTTAATAGAGAATTCCCATACCTCATGATGGAATTTGATTTACAGATAGAAGAATTTTCCTTAGGTGATGCTGCCATTCACACAGTGCGTACTGTTAAAACAATAGCAATACTTCCCTACAAGAAAGCATTTTATAATATTTGCTGCATTTTAAATGAAAAACTGTCAAATGCAAAGATTCTGACTTCAGAATTCAAGTTTTTTGAAGATAATTAAGGTACAGTGTAAGCTGAAGTAATAGAAGTGCTTACTTTTTTACTTATGTTTCTTGTTCACTGATCCGAAGTGCTACTCTTGGAACTCTTTAAACAAGTGATCTACATTCACATTAGATAAACAGGCTCCTAAAGCTATAGATATATACAGTTCTATAGACTTTAATAAAATATACTAATTAAATACATGCTTCTCAGGCAGATTTCTCCTAAATCCCAGTTATGTTTTCTTTTTGCCTTTTTTCCCCCCTGTTCTTTAGTCTCTCATAGAATCCCCATTCTTCCTGACAGATCAAACCTTTGAGCCATGTTTAATTAATATGAGAGTCAATGAAAGAGCAGCATCAACAGAGAGAACTGTACAAGTCTTTATGCCATGCAACTCAACATTTTGCAAGCTCTCTGTCAAGGATTGTTTCCTGAGTGCCAAGTATACTGTTGTTACCAAAAAATAAGTGTTACTAATCACAGACCAGCAGTTCTTTTGGACTCTGGCAGTGCAACTCCTTAATCAGCTGCAGAGCTTGCTGTATGGCTTTATCTTTGCCCATCAGCATCCTTAGCCTGATGACTGTACAATTGTGGAAAATACCTCCAAAATTACATTGGAAGACAAGGAAGAAATAAGAGAAAACTGGTTCATAACTTACAAACTTACCTTGGCTTCAAAATTGAAGTTAAATCACACAGTTGGAATTTTAGGAGATGGTGAGAAGTGATGCATTCCCCAAAGAGCAAGACTTTGGGACAAGTGATACAGAAACAGTGTGAGCAATGACTATGCTATGGCTGTGTCTATGAAATGGCTCTAGGGGCCCATGGCCTATCATGTTCACAGATTGTGCCCCTTCTCAAGCACATGAATGTCACCACAGTTTTAGATACAGAGAGTTATCCTCCCCTCTATTAGCAGGATGTAGGAACCTGTGTTTGTCTCAGTGATGAAAGGGAAAGCAAGAGCTGCTTGGTTATTGCAGCTTGGATTATTTTGTTCTGCAATGGTCTTTCATACACACCTGATAGCGAATATTGACATTAACCATGTGGAAACTCCTACATTTGACTTCTCCAGAAAAATTAATATCCTTTCACTCTCACTGAACCATATTTTGGAAAACAGTAATGCTGCTCTTTGTATTTGAGTGGGATCCAGCAGAGTGAATGGAGTATTTACAGTATTATTTTGATACCAGTGCCAGCATGAGGCATGTGCCACAGGGCTCCATGCTTTAGGAGGTCTTAGACCAAGGCTGTATTGTTTTTCAGCAGTAGCATATGGTAAACACTGTGTATTTTATAATAAACATTCAAATGTTTATGGCACCTAAAAGACTTTACTTTCTATATTCAGAATTGAAAATGTCTGAAGATCTATCTGATGGCACCCCATCTGAAGAAAAACCTGAAGTAATGGAAATGCCCAGCAACGAGGTACCACACCTTGTAGAAGCTGAGATCTTGCATGAGTCTTCACAAGATCAACATGAACAGGTCACTCAGAATGTTAGTAATAAAATGGAAGGAGACATAGTCATTAATGAAAGCCCTTTGACTGAAAATCTCATTGAAAGCCTGCCTTCCAGCCTGCCTTCCAGCCTGCCTTCCAGTGAAGAGACAGCTGAAGATATGCCCACCGAGTGCATTGAAACTGTAAGCCTTGATGCAGAACCTGAATTGGAAGAAACACTGCAGGAGCAAAGCAATCCAGTAAGCAATACTTTCTTTTCTGTAAAGCCTTCCTCTCCTTGCATTGTGAGGACAGAATTTTGTATAATCTATGTCCTGTTTTTCACAAAAACCTAGGAAGTTATGGAAAACCTATATAGGGATAAATTAAATTGCAACACCAAGCTTTTGAAAACTAGGAATAGTTTAATTTCACTTTGCC